ACTATTTTGAATTCTTTCAAGGGAGGCCCCAGAAGTAGGGAAGTCGTATCGAAAGGAAAGTATCGATAAGTACTCCCCAATGCTATTTTGTTACACCGGGTGTGTTTTTCTTTGGAATTTTGTGTAGCCTTTATTAATGGAGTAACAAGGAAGGCTACACAAAATTCCAAAGAAAAACACGCGGTATAACAAAATAGCATTGGAAGTATCGATACTTTCCTTTCGATACGATATTCCTACCCAGAAGGGCCTTTTCCATTTAGAACAGAAAGAAAGACCAGAGAAGGTTCTTTATAGATGTAGAAAATTGTGCGTTTTTCCTTCGTTTCTGCAAAAGTTTCACTTGAAAATTAATCTGTCGCGTTCAATATAATAATGAGTATCACCATATATTGTCCATTAATTAGTGGTATGTGAAATATTTAAATATATTATAATATATTTTTGACGTTACAGTTGTACACTGCTGAAGGAGTACCTGTGGCAAAGAAACAGAAACGCAGCAGGGCTAGCAGCACAAAAAATAATTTGGACCTGACATTTCAGTGGCAATGCGTACTTCAGGATAAATGGATTATTGGAGTAGAACTGGTCAACAGATCCTGTAGGTGAGTTATTTGTCAATTGTGATATGCGGTCTAATATATGATACAATGAAGGCGACACAATCAGGGAAATTATTGAATTAGAAATGCATATTTTATAGCTGCAAACCTGTAGGAGACCGATAAAAGATTTCTACACACAGAATATCGTACAAATAATCTTTATTCAACAATGTGTTTTACTTTGCGAGTATAGAAATCCGTAACGCCGAGATATTTTTGCGTCATTCAAATACAATCGTTGAGCGATCACGCAGACAAATATTTCATTTGAGATTTGAACCTTGTATCCAATTATTTTAATTAATTTCTACTGTAATGAAACGTATGCAAATGTTACTGTTGATTGACTCAATGTTTTTTACTCGGAAATATACGTTTTTTATTATTTCTCGAAACAACGTAATTCTACAAAATGTTTGCATCTTAAAGTGATGTTATGTGATATTAAGTTAGTTACCTTAATATTTTGCACCATGTTTCCTTGAGGCAGTACTATTACCATCGTTACAGTGGTACTACATTTATGCTTACAAAGATTATTGTGCAGTTGTCGCGGACACAACTCGGTGGCGTAATTAGATATTCTTGTTGCTTCATGCAAAACTGAGACTATCACAAATTCTCTTCAATGTCGCGCGTGTCACGTACTAAAATTCTTTCAATCTATCTAGACTTTTCTTAATCTTATTGCATTTCTATTTAAAGGCTTCAGCAACTTTTATTACTAATGGAACCTAACTCAATCTATATCATACGCCATTGAAACGGAAGATAATTGAGAGATCGAAAATTTTGAATGATCAAGATACTGAGATACAGCTTTCTCCAAGCTGATAGTCGTAAATTTGTAAAAATTTAGTTTATTTTAACAATTTAAGTACGCAAGCAACGAACTGTACGTTCATATTTGCAAAACGTTTGCATCGTCCTTATTTATCGTAAATTTTCATTGAGATCTATATCCTCTAATCTCAGTATAACAATAACAGATAAACTTTAACATATGCACTATCAAAATGTTCAATATGACAACACAGTTTACATGTGTAAATTACAAAACCAGGACATATCCTTCCATCCTTTTGAAGTCCCATATAAGAAATGCGTTGATCGTCACTATATACATATATTCGAGTGTCACACTTCTTATCCCTCCAAATTCGTTTAAGCGCTACCTACGATTTCGTTGTGTGTCGCATGCCTCGTTCCATTTCATGTACTGTCTCACACATTTTAAGCATAGACGAAATGCCAGGAGAAATGCCAATCACTTACACGTTAGTGTAGTGATTTCATCCCTACCAAACGCTAAGTACTCTTCGAGTGAATAATCGAAGAGCACGAAGTCATACCTGCGAATCGTAAAGATAAGATAATTTTACATAATTATTTATATCACTATTATATCTTTTATCGTACGCGAAATTACGGATGTAAATTTTACGACTGAAATCGTATGTTACCGCGAACATACCTGAACATTTCGTAGAGCTCGTCAATCTGTGTTTTGGATAATTGCGTAAAATAATTTTTTATAACATCTTTCGTCTGGACGCCCTTAGTAGGATTTTTCCACTCGGGTTTGATGATGTGCCCCACATGAGCTTGCTTTATGAGATAGTCTTGGTCGTCCTTTAACAAAAAAGAGACAGTTTTAAAACGATTCTCTCGATTCAACGAAATACATCTATCTCGTTTAATATTCTACAAATTGGGGATATTTTCTTACAACATATCACGTGAACACAATCGAAAATTGCTCGTCTATCGTCGGCTTTTATGTCGATGGAATCAAGGAACCCGATTAATTAAATTTACTTACATGTAGCGTCTCGAATTTAGCTATCACGTCGAATCGCACTTGGCAGGGTGTACAGAAGTTCACGACTGGTGTCCAATGCATGTCGAGATCGTTCCCCGCCCTCCATTGGCATAACAGCCATCGGACAAATTCCTCGAAGAGCGGATATCTAGGTCCTTGCCTTGTATTCGTCTTCGAATCCTGTATTTTACGAAAGATTTATTTTAAAATTTTTTGCGCGACATGAATGATTTTATCGATCGAAATCATTAATTTGAATTTTGAAAATAAATTTGTACGGTTGCGCAGGAAAAGTTGATTCCAAATTTTTTCAACGAATCTTTCCAAGTATCTTTTTTATTGATTTGCGTTTTTCTATTATATATTTCCATTTCCATAATTTTCGCTAAATCCGCGATTCAGGTTGGAGAAGAATTGGAAGTAAATTATCTGGCGTGAATCTGAATGGTTATTATTTATAAAAATCGTCGAAAGACGGATTACCCTTGCTCTGTAATGCCAAACTATGTGTGCACCGAGGTTGCTGTGAAATGTGTGCGGCAGGCTGTGCTCCAGTTTATCTCGATAAGCGCTGAGCAATCTCTCGAAGGGATGCCGCACTATCAGGAAACTGATGCTGTCGTTTAGATATTTAGCCAGCTCTTCCGCGCTATGCCTAGGATACCTCTGTCTGGCTAGCGAGACTGGCACTGCTTTGGAGGCCTTCAGAAATTGCGGGCTGTATCTGCAAAGTTAGCGCAATAACGATTATTCACTGATGATTCATCATGTCATTCATGATTATCAATGACAATCAATTATAATCGGCTCTGCTGTTCAGTAATTCAGTTAGTATTTTAGCAAATTGACGATGTTAAGAAATAAGAGAAATAGAGAGTCTTCACACGAGTCCGGGTAATTAAAATAATTAAATATTTATCTGCAATATTATCTTTTTTTTTACAATTGTATCTTGCAATCTGCAGCAGTAAATTACACGGTATATATGTTTTATCTCCGTCGTGTTCGTTTTCATCGTTTCCGCGAGGAAGTTTAATTACGTAAACGACGATGGGACTTACCCCGCAAGTAAATTAAAGTTATACATCCATGATGTGGATGCTGCTTTGAAAACATTGCACCATATAAGGTGATATTCTCTATTTACAAGGAACTCCCAGGCGTTCGGCCTGTGAAGCGAGTCGTTGCCAGGACGATCGAGACCCTCCTCGGCACATTTTTCCGCCAGAAATTTCCGCCTGGCTGTTAGACGTTGCTCAGTTTCCGCCGTCGTAATCTGCTCCAATATTTTCTCCTCCGGCGTCAGATTCGCGTCCTGCCAAAATGTATTGAGTCCTCGATTTGTAAGGCAAGACTAATTTGTAAGAAAAGACGTAAATCGATACCCTACATTACGCAACAGCTTATTCTGCCGTTCGTTTAATGATGTCGCCTTGATCGCGTCATTAAATTAAGATGCTTCAAAATTACGGAGTGTCGAGAAATACTACTACTGTCATTTATCGTTAACTTGGCCTAAATTAATAGTTAGTGGGCGGTTATACCAGAGACTACTCCAATGAACTATAAAATGAGCCGGTGCTATTGAATTATGAATTGGACACTGACGTAAGAGTTACGATATAAGTGTATCACGTAAGATACGAAATGTATCGAAGCTTACTTGCTCGATTATCTCACTCAATCTTTATAATGTCTTTGCTGACAAATGACAGAAATGAGAAATACGCGGAAATACGAGTACGCACGAGCGCACGCTTTATACATGACAATTTAGTCATTATTATTATACTCTCCCAGTTATTATTCTCTCTCTATTATCATTTATGACGAGTAGCCTCGTTTATGCATACGTCTAATTATCGCATTATCCGCTTAATAGAAATTGGAAAAAAAGATTTGCTTATAACGCGCGTCGAATGGAATTATGAATAAATGCAATCCCCTCGCGATCGATATAGACTTAACAGCACTTGATTATAATACAGGTAATTACGAGATAGCGAGGACGCAGGTAATTATCAGATAATGAGAGATAAATATAGCGGTAACCACGCGGTTAGAATTGCGCACATGCGAAAAGTTATGAGAGCCGGATCATCGATTGAGTTCGAAGAGTCCATATGTACGCGAATCGCAATGCGAATCTTCCCGTCAAGACTACGATTGCGACATGTATATTGACCTTCTCCGCGACTCGTAAGGTTAATTCAATTTCCTAATTTCTGCAATTAGAATTTAAACACGTGGCTATACGTTTACTGCACCGCGTTGCGTCGAATGCGCCGAATGCCGGTCTTGACGAACGTACGGTACATTTGCATTTAAATTGGAGATCATGTCACTTATGAGCGCATCTCTCTTTTTTAAAGTAATTTCTCACGTCGCTTTCAACATAATAAAGCGCTTAGTATGTTTAATTTATTAAGGAAAGTAATTATGGTATGATTTTCTGAACTAATAGTTAATTAATAGGAGCTTAGTTTAAGTGCTACCCGTAGCTAAACATGATATATGTTTATAAGCGATAAGTACATGTGTACACGTAACAAATAACATGTGTGCAGAACGGGCTGCAAGAGGAAATTTTGTGTACTATATTGAGAGATATACTATTCAGTGAATCGTGTCGTACAAATAAGATGGTAAGACGTTTCTGCGATTTCATGAATCATCTGTATTTTTGGGAAATTGGCTTCCGAGATGCTCAGAAACTATATATATATATATCCTTTGATTTGCGTCATCCTCTTATCAATGTTTTATTTCGTGACGCCCATTCACATAACAATTTCTGTCAAAAGACACAATTTTCCCGTTACAAGCGGTACAAATTAGAAATCTTTCAGTAATCCGGTAATTACAGAGTAAAGTATCTTACGTCAGCCCCCGCGGGATTGTAAAGGATTAGTAATTTAGATTGCTACAAACTGATTGCGGTCGTGCCGAAACTCCGCAGGGAGTGACCTAAAAGCCAAGCCGAGAGACGTAAAAACTGATTTCTTCCCTCGACTCCGGCGAAGTCGTATACGTCGTATCGTACGGCGCGGAAAAGCCGGCATCGATATCGACATTGTATAGCGCGGCAAGCTGGCAAAACCGAATGCAGAACTACCGGCTTCCGCTTATTGATTTCGATGTGGAACGCGCCTTGTGCGGCGACGACGAATGTGGGCCACGGAGGGTGGTGGCGCATCGCGCACGTTTCTGCACTGGCGCATCGTGCATACACGTGCCACCTGCGAGGCGTTAGGGCGGCACACCGCCGTTATTTTCCTGCCGTGTTTCTGCATTATTTACGTTAAGTAGGTACCGTTTGTTATTCAGCAGTTAAGACAGATTCCGGTTAGGTAGCTTTCCTGCAATTAGATATTCTCTCTGTCGCGACTTAAGTACTGTTGTACGAGAAATAGCGGATTCTCGAGCCTTCCTTACAATACGTTTCCTTTATTTCGAGATTGTATAACAACCGCTACGGTCGTATTTTTTTCTCCGTTATTTTTGGCCATTATTACGTTTTTACTCGGCGCATTAAAGTGTAATAAGTAATTAATGTCTTTTGTATAAAAATGTCTCTCTTATTAAGGTGGTGCTGGAATTAAAATTGTATTTTTGCTTCTAGTTTCGGCTTTTATCTCTATTACTGTTTTATTCCTGACAAACTTTAATCCACATTCGAGTTTTTACATCTCTGATTGTGAAACGTTGTATTCTACGCTCTGATTCAATTTTTATTGCTCCGCAAGAGAGAGAGAGTAATTTTGTTAATAAAGACAATTACACGTCGTTTTTATTCTAATGCAATACAAGTTTTCATCTCGCAGTTTTGTCAATATTAATTTTTTCCAACGTGTGACTTTTTCCGGTTTATGCGCCTGAGACTTTGTAGCAAAAATATGGACTGTCACGCGTGTGTGATGGCCGTAACTTATCATGCGAATGCTCCGACATGTAGAAACCTTTTTCGGCGTTATCTGAATCGGATAATCTCGCCGATTCTGCGAAATGTAATGCTTTCTTTCGGCTTTATACATGTTTCTTCTTTTGTCTGATCTATTTATCGTCACGTATCGTTAATGAAAAACGTTCATTGAAAAAATTTAGGTCGATTATTTGTAAAAGTATCGTATGATGTTGTGCGAAAATTTTCAAACTATACAGTTACACAAAATCTCAAAACTATAAAAATTTTTTGTTGCTCAAAATTTTTTATATTTTACGTCGATAAACTCCTTTTTACTTTTTATAAAATTTTCTTCTTAGCAACGTATTTTTCTTTTTCTCTGAGAACAACCGAACGTTATTTGATATTGAAGAGCTTATTATAACATATGGAGGAGTAAAAACCACAGTGGTGTAAGTCAAATTTTTAAAAATATTTTTTCGTGTGCATAGATGCAATTTATATATTGTATGGATTGCATCTATGCACGCGAGAAAAAATTTAAAAAAATTTGACTTACACTACTATGACTTTTACCCCTCCATATTCAGATCGATAACACATGTATTCCTATTGAAACATATACGTGTGCATTTATAATTGTTTGATAAATCCCATGTCAAAAGATTTAATGGGTATTCGTTCCTGACAATCGTGAAATGATTATTTAGAAGCAATTTTGACTACCTTTCCGGACATTTAAATGGGTTTTAGGCGGGCACTGATCCACGTACCGCATTGCGCCTGGAAATGTGCCAATCTATGGTCGTTGTGCTTTACGTAAGGCAAACGTTTTCGGTCTCCCAGGAATCGGGGATGCCGGTAGGTACATAACTCTGCGTTTCCTCAAAATCAACTCTTTTTTTTTTATGCGAACTTCTGTTATGCGTCAGGAATGTGTAACGTGCCTTCTTGAAATAGCACATTTATAGCGCGTTTAATAGAGATAAATGTTTGGTTAAGTGATAGCTCTCGGAAATGGAACCCAGCGCGAAATGATCGAAAGTAATGAAAATTTAGATTATATATTAATCAATATTTGCGATTTTCCTAGTGAAAATGGGCGGGAGTTCATGGCAATTATGATGATTACGAGGCCTTAATTGACTCTGCGGAGAATGCTATATTGAAACTAGAACGCTAATGAAATATCAGGATAATATTAAATGGTCTACACTGATAAACATTTGGCTTTCGAATTCCACAAATTATGCTCGAATTATCCGAAACAATGCAGCGCATTTTTCGGATACCTACTAAAGATCCGCGAAATATAAATAAAATCTCCGCGAGAGATAACTCACCTCCAGCGAATTCCCGTGCTGCAGGGTGTTGGTGCCATCCTGGCCCGACAGTATCAGGACGATGAGCGCCAGGACACCAGCGGCAAAAATAGCACGGCGAATTCCTGCCAAGACGCGACGACGTGGGGTCATCTTCTCCCGGAGAACGTGTTTCCGTCTGTACTCATATCGGACTGAAACACGTTCGGAGCGTTTATCATACGGCGTTTCCCAAGTAATAAATCGTCGTAATTAATTGGCGATTCGCGAGTCTCCGGGTCATTACGTTAATTGCATTGTCTGTCGATCGCTTGCGACACCGACACTTGGAATCTCGTTAACGAGGACGTTCGAGATTGGGTGATAAACGAGCCGTTCCGTGAATGCGGACGTAAACGTGTTAGGGTATTGCAGCTCAGGTATTATGCGCCGATCAGAAATTATTTAGCAGTGGCACTCCGCAATTTGTAGCTCTCGCGTCTGATGAACGGAACGTTATGCTTGTTTTAGCGGAGCAGCCGTTTAAATTTCGGCAGTGTAAAATGTAAATAATCTTTATTTCATGACGAGGTAGAGACGATAAAATATAAAGTTGGTGCGATTTTTTCGCAGGTATCGTGTACGCGTGTTCCGTTTTGACGAGGAAACGTAGCGCGATGATGACAAATATACTATTACATCCTCGCGCGACGCATCCTGATATTTGACCCGATCGATTCGATAGTTCGATCAATTGTAATCTTCTTTTAGAATTTTCATTAGCAATTCTCCGTTATATCGACGTACATTTCGCCCTAACGCCTACGTGGAAAGACAACTGTGGGAGAACGCACCTGCGACGAGTAAATGTTTGTTCCACACATCAGTATTTCAATCAGCTAAACATAAACTTTGCAATATTTGTATTCGATAAAAAAAAACATTAAGGTACTTTTCTCAAATATACAAGTATTTTCTGTGGTATTCTGGTATAGTTTTGCGTTTGCAATATCTAGCAGCTCGTATATAAAGACATCGAATCAAGACACGCGTAATGTCTCAAGAATACTCAAGTCGATGATTCAGACGATACAATAATTAGACCGGTTAAGAGAGTTATAGGAGGCATAAGAGGAGGAATAAACACTTCGTTTATTCGCAGAATGCCACAGACGGCGTGAGAAGGAGGCGCGCCAGCGCCGATGGAATGGGTAATCAGTTTCGCATTTCCCGGGACCGGTATATGCGTTCGTCCGTGTATCGAGATCGCGAGTAATCGCGCGCCGAGCAACCGTGGAGTCGCGGAAATGTGACCGCATCCACGTGATAAGCATTCGCGCGCTGCAGAAATTCTCACGGTCAGTATGCCGGCGGTAATGTCAGCGTGGATGATTCCATTCGCTGTTTGACTTTCTCGACGTTGCTGTTAGCACAATCCTGTGTCTGATTGCGCGCCGAATGGAATTCGCAGATTCGTCGGGATTTGTCCATTGTGTTTTATCCGTCGGATTACGTGAACCGTTATAACGAAGCATCATAATATTATGATATGTATAGGAACGATTGGATTAGTCATTGTTTGTTAGAAGGAAGTTCGAGATATTTTATGCGCAATATAAACGTATCAAGGATAATCTGAGCAATAAGGAGGAAAAGATTTTAAAAATAACACATTGAGTGATAATGAAAAAGCAGTTCTCGATACCCGTCGTAATTATCTTTGCAATTAAATGTAATTATTGCTGGCGTTTTATGAAACAGTCTTTCGTTAGAAGGATAATCGCAGGGGATGTGTAATTATCGAATAAAGCGAAATGTAGGCTACATAAATCTCGCTTTTCATGAAACAAGTTTCGTGTTGATATATCGCTCGCGTTGCGCTTGACGGGTAAAAAGAGCCGAAAAGAAAAATTGCACAGTTGCGAAAAGGATTTAGTAGGGCGTACTTTTTCGCGAAAAGCGTTGCGTAAAAAGTACGTACGATCGAATTCCATCAGGCTTTATAAAATAAGCGTGTTTCGGCAATAGTTTATAGTACCAGTATTTATGTAATATATACTATAAAGCATGAGGGGTTGTAGATGTTGCTTTTTTGCCGAATTTTGACAAAATTGCTATTTTGATAAATAACTGATAGAAAATGGTGATTTATTGAGATAATCGCGACTGCTCTTTAATAATTTTAAGTCGTAAAGAGCGCTAATTATTATTATTAGAATATTTTAGTATAATTGTTTCTAATAGTACTTTCTACACCTATTTTGTGTATAATAAACTTGTTTGCTACGTTGATGTTGCAATATCATAATTATCGGTATCAGTCGGTCAGTTTTTAAAGCAAAAATGACTTCTTTCCGTTTCATACTGTTCAGATAATCTATTGTGCCATTCATCTGCGGTCACATAATCTTTACGTAACTCTATTCTTTATTGTGGACTCGATGCAATCAGAAAAATGTGATTTTCCTGCTTTGCTGTCATCATGAAAAAGTTGATTCAAGTTGACTAAACAGTCGGATAATTTTTTTTTTTTAATGGATAATTGTGTTTATGATGAGATATATTACGTCGATAATAATATATGTACAACATAACAAGAAATAGAGAGTCATATCGGTCAGAACGATAACTTCCTTACGCAACATTAGTGCGAATATAAACATATATTATCTTATTCGCGAATAGGCCATCTTCGTGCAATATAATGCGAAATGGATCCATACTCAGGATTTCAGCCTTAGATTACATAAGCCTGAGCGATTCTGTGTACATGTGACATTAACTTATGTTTTCCGTGAGATCTATGACGGGAGACACGGTTCGTTCCCACAGGGAACGATCTTTGATCTCGAATCTCGACGTGAATGGAACCGTTGATTTGTAATTCACGATTTCATTTGCACTGTGTACGCGGAATAAGAACTTACTGCTGGAGCATGTGACAGCGGCAGATGTTGGCTCAAGTATTAACCTATTATCATCCGATAAAAATTTTATCAATAGAAGATAATGATTTGGAAGATAAGTAATTTGAGATGGAAAAACTGCTGATGTTTTTAGAAAGAATTAACTGTCAATTAATCTCAATAAATCTTAATAAATTTTATTTAAAAAAAAGTATAAGATGGCGACAAGATGACATTAAAATTATTAAAGAGCAGAGTCTTCACTCAATGTAAATGATTACGACGCGTATTTGTAAAATTAGATCAGAGACAATATTTGCGCATAAAAGATTCGTGCGTAGGCGGTGACTGAACAAAATATCGTTAATCAAATTGTATTAGTCATGAATTTTATGACTCGGTAAATACCTGGCAACAGATCGAATAATAAAAAAAGGAAGTACGGTTGCATGCATTTTATAGAAATGGTCGGAAACTTGTGCAATTGTTCTTTTTCAAGGATCGGTTTGTTAGAACTAGCCTTGAAATCATAATCTATACGACAAGTAACTGCGAGAAACATGTTAAAGGAATCAAATGGCAGATAAGATTTCACTCTTTCTAAAGTCAATTAATTTCGACCTTAATTTAAGTAGGCCGGTTGCGTCAATTAACATTGACTCGATTAGTTCATTTCTTCTTCTGCGTCTGTACTATGGGCAGGTCTATCTTGTATAAAGAGAGAGAGAGAGAGAGATAGTGAGAAGATCTATAACTTATTGTTAGTTAATTTGTATTATCGGTACAATTTGATCCCTTCCATCCCTTTTTAAAAGCCGAAAGAAAATAAGTCAGTTGAATTATGCTTCGTTTAAGGTAACTTTGGGCTCAGTTTTACTAACGATGAATTCTAACTATATAGTTTAACTTCTTGATTTTTTAATGATTTTAATTTATGGCACTAGCGATAATAAATGATAGAAGAAAAAAATTTGATGATATTAATAACATGAGGTTTCAGTCAGATTAAGTTAATTTGCAGTTCCCCTGCAATACCGTATCACGAATACGTTAGAATCCCAGGTTTGTCATAGAACAATCGCGAATCGTCGTGATAATTTTCACTTTAGTCTAACATTATTGTTGACCGTGCACGCGATTCGACATTACGTTAGCGTATCTTTGTATTATTTAACGCTATCGCGAAAAACAGCGCTTCCTGGTTGACGACGGCCGATCGGTCTCGCAAGAAAAACAGTCGTGTACAGCTGTGTCATGGGTTCACGGGGTCAGCGGGTGGCCTTTCTAATCCCGGGATCTGCGCGGCGGGGGACCGCGATACCACCGGGGAGACCTCCGCGTCTCCAGGTCGATCGTCGCGTGTGTATCGCGGGTAAGTATACCTTCTCCGGGCATATATCCGGCGGCGGGATCACTGACGCATTTGTTGTCGCGCGCGAGCGTCGTCGGCGGGCGTCGTTTCTCCCCCGGATCGGTGCAGCGCGTCGGTGCGAGGGACGTTGGACGTAGTCGCGCCGCAGGAGGCAGGAGCGCGTACGCGGTGTGTGGTGCCACGTGATGCGTGCCGCGTGTCGCCAGGAAAAGTACGATGCCGTACGATCACGGCGGCATCGTGCAGATCACTGAGGCCGACCGACCGGCTCGCTCCATGAGCGCCTCGACGCTCGCGTTTCCGACGCTACCGCCCGACCCGTCCCACCAGGGCCGGTTTCGTAAGGTACCTCTCGCGATATGCGCGATGTTTCTTAGCCGAGAGATCGGAGCACGTCAAGTACTCCGACCATCCCGTTACGAACTTTAGAAAATTGATCTACACATATTTCTAACTTTGAGAAGCCATATCTGGAAAGAAGTTTCTTTTAAGTTTAAAATTAATTTTATGTTCTTGACGGGTACGGTATAGAATTGAATACGTACATATACACAAGAATACGTATCAACAGAATTTATTTATATCTTAGTACACATAGATTATACGTACATAGATATGTTTTCCGTGGCATTTCATGCGTGAATAAAAACAGTTTAAATTCCATAATAATAAGATGTAGTAAAATTAAAGTGAGGCTAAGATAAAGATGCATTTGCAAGTGAGTGCTAGGTGAATATGAGAATAGTAAATATTAATCTTATGTCGGGGTATAAATATCCGACGCCAGGCCTGCGGCTTGCCTCTTTCCGTTCATTGGTCGGTTTTTTCGCGGGTCGATTTGCCGCTGGACGTTTCTCGCGCAATCGCGCCGCGATTTGCGAGCCACCGCGAGCAAGTGAACGCCTTCTCGGTCGGAGATCGATCAATTGAAATTGAAACTTAATTACTAATGATAACTCGTGTGATTCGCGACGTATCGACCGCGCCGTACAATCGTCAATTGCAGACGCTGTTTCCAAATTACGGATTCGATATTGCAACTTGCGCCGCGAAAAATTGACGAATGCAATGTAATTTCCTATCTTTCTCGGACATAAGTTTTATGAATAAATTTCAAATACTCAATTTTATAATTAGAAATAATGTGAATTATATTTTTACGCTAATATTTCTACATCACATTTAATTTTACTTTGTTTTTTATTATTCGCATCTCAATTTGTATTGAAATGTATAGAAAAGAAGAAAAATAAAATACGAAATTACCGAAAAATAAGTACCGATTAACTTTAAATGAAGCAATTGTTGTTGATATCTTATTTTTTTTATTTGTAGAATATATATTTTTATACTGTTTTGGTGCGATCTTTTACGGCTGTCTTCACTTCGTCATCGCTAGTGAATTGTTGTGACACTTGAAATTCCTTTCTTCGCTGACTTCCGCTTGATTTTTCACTCGAAGAAATTTTTAGCGGTTCTTTCAACAGCGGTGATGAGGTGAAAATAGCTATACCAGATTGCGTCAAGACGTCGCCAGCAGATTTCTTCGACCCAACTTCTGTCGCGATACAATATTTCAATTTAGAGAGCAACGAGCTGAAAAGTAGATTAGAGTACGTAGAAGATTGCGATGAAAAATAATGAAATCGGAGAAACTTCTTTCTTGTTTATATATTCTCACGTTTATTAGCCAATCAACGTTTATTTTTTACATGTATCTAATATGAAGAAATTTCTAATTAATTAATTTTCAATTTCTCGCGCTTTAACTCGCTCTAGATATATTGTTAAAACGCAAGCATTATGTGTGTAACAAGAGAGAGGAACATAAAATATTGCGCGCAATTTGGATTTCATATAGAAGGATTGAAAGAGAAAAGAAGGAAAGAAAGTAAATTTTACATATTATATCAGCGTTCACTATAAATCGCAATTTACATAATAAAATTATTCCATCACCGTTGATATCGCGTTATTATACTTTTGCAGGAACATCGCGATTAATATCTTTGTTCGCGGGTCGATTTGCATGGATAATGTCAATGTAAGCGTTGCATTCAAGGTCGATTCGCGTGTGCATATCCGCCAACTTGGCAACCGCGTTATCTGTGCGTCCTGTTTTGTTTTTTTGGGAGGAAAACGGTCTGTAATTTTTTAAATATAATAATACTACTTGGAATATTATAACGTAATAGTGTCGATTAGGAAATGTTAAAATTAAATCCATATCTTGCAGAAAATGCAAATCGAATGAAAAAAAGAAAGATTTAGTTGAATTGCCTGAATGGCGAAAGTTGAGGTGGCGTATTTTCCTTTTTTATAAGGTACGGACCAATGGTGGTCCGTCTTCGATTATTCTCGTATCGATATTTCAAACTGTTCGGACAATAAATCTGTCAGTTTATATACGACGCATTTCTTCTATCATTTTTTCTTATTGTCACCATGATTGTCGTGAATTGATATTCAAATAAAATGGATTAAAATGCAAGCTGTTTATCGCTTCGATTAGCTCGCAACGATCTGCATTCATGCTATGCATACATTACGAACATTACGTAATATCAGGGGTTTTCATTAAATGCATTACTGAATATATACATAGAAGTATCCTACGATTTATGCATGCGCACAATAAGTCATTCATTATTGTCATTAAATGCTCTCTAAATCTGAATCAGTGAATAGTCACTGATTCACAGTACTATTTCACTGATTCAGATTTAAAGAGTGAGGCATATCTATATCATGTGACACATCAACGAATTTTAACTAAGACATTTTCCTGATTTATTTTTAAATGTTTAGTTTTGGAAGTATCTAGTTAGTGACACAACTTTCCTATTTTTGCCGTCAATATTGACTTCTCCCGTAGAAAGTGCGAAATATCTCCTTCCCAAGAATAGTTTCTCCCAACAAATCATGACATCACATCACGATGCAAAGACAGTTTATTACCTTGAATATGTAATGTAATTAGACACGGGATAAAAATTTCTGAGAGCTAAAATCAAAATTTCTGAAATAACGAACTTCTTTTATCGTTATCATTCAAATATCAATCGAAGAAAAGGAGCGTCGAGCCGTAACATTTAAATATATTTTACATTCTGTAACGAGATAGTGATTTGGAGGATTGTCAATATTAAACTTTTAATAGAATAAGCCGCAAAGTCCTTATTTACATTATGGAATTTAGATGAGCGTTAAATTCCGTGAAAATAATAAATATTTGTTATAATTGTAATTTATGCGCTACGAACCTTACATTCTTTCTAGAAAAGCAGCAACAAAGATATTTTATTAATATACATGCGAACTAAAAACCGAGTTGAAAACTGTGTGTTGAAAAAAGGAAGTTCTTATAGACGCGATTGTTAATAGCGTAGAATGCGGTTATGTAAGTTTTCTTTGCAGCACGTTGCTCAACCCCAGATATTACGTGTCACCTATGCGGGGCGAGGAGATTTTCGGCGAGTCGACCTTCTGGAAATTGAAAGAAGAAGTTGAAAATTCTTTCTTCTATACGAAAAAGATCAAGTCGATCCAACCCGGACCTGTCGTGGCGACAATGGTGCTCGATCTACCGATGTTCGATCAGGAACCTGTCGTCGAGTGCTGGGGTATAATCTCGTACGAGATCAATGACACACAATTCCAAGTCCCAGTGCCACCCATTCAGCTCTCTATTGTCGAAACGATCGATAGTTCGTATATAAACTTCTTAAATGAGAGCGAGTACGGTGCGATATTAGCCCTGAAAAGCACGTCCACCATAGAAAGGATCGTTAACGTTCAATTCTCGAGAGACGATCAAGACGATCAAGACGATCAAGACGACCAAGACGACCAAGATGATCAAAATGGGTTCGGCGACAAACTCGATCGTCTTTTGACCGCGAAAATCTTTACGAAGGTTCGCAGCAACATTTTCTTGGCGAAAGAACACGGCTCCCTGATGTACTGTCTGGTCGAGATACAATCGATCGATGTCGACGAAGCGAATATCAAGATCTTCGCCAGGTAATGGATGAGTAGAACTACGCTTTCTTCGGATCGCAAGTTGTGATAAAACGTAGGATGGTAGATTTACATTATCAACGATACGATTGCAGATCTGTCAATCAGCTGAACATAATATTGCACCTTCTGCAAGACGAATTTCCAAATGTATCTCTTGAGGAGACTGATAATTGCGTTGAGGCTGCGATGGCTCTGATACACGAGCTAACGATGATTCGCGATAATAAGAACAACATCCGCGAGATACAAGAAGCGAAAGTGATAACAGACTTACTTATTCCTTAAGTTCTATTTATCACTGTTTATATAAAATATTGCTTACTCGTAGAGGAAGCTTTGTTTTTCTTGTATTATGTTAATATGCAATGTAATATAATTATGTTGACATAATGATATCGTGTAAAAATATACCAAAAAACCAAAAATTGTTAACAATTAATGTAGCAATATATTATGCGAAGAACAACATCGGCGAAATAGAAAAAGCAGTATATTAAATAAATTGATCGAGCTTTCATTACTTTGTCTAATTTTTCATCTTTTATAATATTGATATAACTAACATATAAGTATTGAAATAAAATGTATATTGTTACCAATTGTTATCATCTTACTTTCTCAAGAGATTAATATAAATTTATAACATATAAATTTTTTTATTATGCAATATATATTATCACATATATATATATGTACCTTTGCATACACACGAAGAGAGAAACATTCACACTGGAAATGGGAGGCGTTAGACGCTGTAAATTTTTGAAATAATTTATTTTGTTAAACTATATAAAGCACATATTCGTAACATATATACTGTAGTGAGAGTGGATAGAGTGAGTGATCGGAGTGACAGAGTGAGTGAGCGAGTCAGTGAGTGAGTCAATATGGGTCAGTAGACTTCGCTGAGCACTTTCGATAAAAAATATCATCGCTACGACCAGTGTGCATTTAACGTCATTAACGATTACATACGATATAATTCTCTCTTCGATACATATGTATACAGTCGTTTCATTACAGGTATCACTTTGTTGTATATGCCCGCCGTGTCTCGGCCGCCGTTTTATGTATATATTTCCACTGATTTACGCGTCGCAATAGTATGTATACGCCTATGTATTAAGATACCTACATTGTAAAATCGATAAACGCCTTCGCTGTTGATTAAGACTGAATGTAAAGGGGCTGTACAGCAGCGACGAGACGTGAGAGGTCTGTTAAAATATACCGGCTATCGCGCTTCGCACTTCGTGAGCCCCGTAATGAAATATCGAAGCGTGCGCCCATCGTTAGGGATTCAAGTCTATCTCTTCTTCTTTTTTTTTATTATTATTATTCTCGATGCATCGATACGATATTTTAGCGGAGCAGTTGACGCCAATTCCATCGACCCGTTGATGCATATATTTGCGTTAATTAAATCGATACTGCTATAAAGCCTGCCGATCGATTAGTGGCCGGCCGTTTAATTTTTGTCCGTTCAATTCCTCCTTCGAGTGACTGTAATAAAGCTTTTTTTTTAATTATTATCTTTTTTGTTTTTTAACCCGTCAACAGGATCGGCTCGTTCGCACGTGGAGAAAAGTCTCGCCCGAGACGGAGAGGTTGGTATTATTACGCTACATCATCAGTCCGATCATTCGTCACGACACTTGTTAACAGCGAGTTAATTAATCTTGTTTGTGCCTGGAATCGAAAGCTTTCTCCCTTGCGAACTCCGCTGGCTTATTGCAACGCGCGACATCATTCGTTTTTCATGTTTTTCTCCTTTTTTTCATCACCGCACTCTCTCGCTCTCGCTCTCTTTCTCTCTTTTCTCTCTTCCATGTATTGTCCGCTTGGCTTATTTACATACTATATTAGGCTTCGGCTGTACACGCGGATATATACCCATATGTATATTCAATGTACATAGGTACTCAATTCCCATTCGTTCTCGTTTCTCATGAGCGGTAATTTACAATAAACTAGTTTGACGTTTTCGTTCTCGTCGTCACCGTCGTCGTCGTCGTCGTCGTCGTCGTCGTTGTCGCTGTCGCTGTCGCTGTCCTCGTTTGAGTGTCGCATAATTTACTAATACACACGCAATATTCGGCACTCTCGTTTCCCAAGCTTTAAAGCGTACGCATAGCAATCTCTTGTTTTACAAAGGTCGCGAATACACGCGAGCACACTTAATCGCTCAATCGCAGTCGCGTTCTTATTTGGACTGGAGCAGTTTTTGGCTCGTTTTTGATAGGATTATAAGACTGCTCGAGTTTTGCAATCTAAAGATCATGGATTCGTTTATTACGACGCAATTATTTTCCAAACTAATCGGTTCGATTTATCATTTGCCACTACATGAACTGATTTAGTACGAAATAGATTTTGGAATAGAAATATTCGAGATGAATAAAGAACTAGGTAAATTGACACTTCAACATAATTGTATATTTTACATTGAATTATCTTTTTAAAAATTGCTTAAAAAGCTAATTTCTATACGATTCTGTTCTTTTATACGATTACATTTTGTAATTTTTAACATACTTCAATTTTTATAAAATTTACAATTTTACAGACATGTGAATGCATGGTCCTCAGCAAGCGATACTATATCGAAATTTGAATTCGAAAGAAGACAAACTCGAATGCATTAATAAAATGCTCCTCAACGTGCAAAAAAAAACGATATGATTTTATGTACTATCAGCTCCCCAAGAAAAATCTATTATTTCATGAACAGTAGTGCAATTAAATTCGGTTTGAAATTTTATGAGAGAATTCTTGGTGCAATGTAACGCAATATATAGCGTTGAAATGTAACAAGAGTAGCGCTGTAATTATATACCTATACAATCTCGGTAGATAATTAAGTTTAGAATGGAAAATATTATCATACCTGGAATTACCCCGATATTATCATATTTATCGTCCCATGTTGTGACGCAACGCAATCAATATCGACGTATTTGATGATAATCGTGGTTTCGCTGTTATGACAAGCATCGTATTATATATCAGTATTGATTGCGAGCTTTGACGTAACCGGCTTCTTTTTTGCAACGAATTTGTTTGATAAACACGAAGAAACGAAATGTTCGCGAAGATATTTTGAATTAATTGTTTTACATGAAATGCTTGCTGCATACTTATCACCAAATTTTTAAGTGAGATACGTATAGATGTTTCTTATTTGTACCCCAAAAACACTCTTTCATAATTTGAAGTCTAGAAATATAATTATGGGTAATTTATTTTTAAACGAATAAGTAAAGAGATGTGTGAAAATTTAACACAATTTTAAAAATTAGAATATTTGCAATTATTTGTTTTATAGTACATGTCAAATTCAGTATTTAGATTTTTAGAGCATTTATTGACATTCAAAGTTTAAATGTATTTGTTTAAATGTATTAAACCAAGTTAGAAAAGAAGGATTAGTAGAAAACAGTTTTACATTAATTAGTCGTGTATTAATCATTTACTCACACGCTTCTGTTGTACTACAAAAACAAAACTAGTAAAACGAAGTTTCCTCTATGTTTTCACAAAGTTACTTCCTATGTTTATTTGTAGAAAAAGCTACGCACAAAATTGTAATGCGATATAATACACTCACATTCAAGAAAACTTTACATGAGTTATAGGATGGTACGAGGAGAAATTAATTTCTCGAACAGGCAATACTAATTGCACCAAAGTATTTATTCTTAGAATAAATAGCAGCGAAGGCACTAAATTATATTAATATCTGTTCATTAATGATTATTACGAAAGTAAAGTTAACATTTTATCAGCGTAGTGCCGTCTAGAAACGAGGACAGTCCCAGAAAGTCTATTCTTTAAATTTTTTTTTACAAATTACGAGCGTTATCATATTTTGCGATACGCGAGAAAAGTGTTACGTAGATCCTTTTAATTTTACATTTCATTTGATACGTTTCTTTCGCATTTACCTTCTATTATGCGGTAACGTAAAGTCTTTGCAAAATATTTATCGCAAAGCCGATTTGGCGAACTAACGCTGCAACAACGAATGAACAGATTTTACGCTGATTGAAATCCTAATTATGACACTCGCCAGTAACTCATCACGACCGAGAAATCAGAGTAATGCATTCGCAGGCGTTTACGTTAGTCGCGTCGTAATTGCGTGTGGAAATCCTATTGACGAAATATACAAACGTTTGCCTTATTTTTGCCGACTTCAGCATAAAGACATCGTTTACTTTTCCCCACTACGTGATTAGCCTTAGTACTTGTTTCTCTTGAAATTGTTCTCTCCGCTACTTATACGATTTATCGCGATTGACTTCACTGGTAGAACGCGTGTCGCTTTGTAATATTTTATTTGCAATTCATTCTATATATATGTACAAGTCTGTCCGCACGTCCGTGTACATCCAGTAACACGACCATTTAATGCGTTATTCGATAGCGACAGTCAGAAAATAATCTCCAGCGAGAAACACTTCGATATGGAAATTCTAAGAGTCAGATAAGAAATGCAGTCGTCGTCGTCGTAGTCGTGCGTTTTGCATATTATTTAGTTCGTGAAGCTTCGTTAAGCACGGACGTATTGCAATGTACACGTACGCGCGGGCATATTTAACATAGATTACATTATCAGTGATTAAATAATAGCATAGAAAATAATTGTTTTCCTCGCCACAAAGCTAGAGTCTTTCAACTATTTTGCCATTGACCTTTGATACTTGATATTGTTTTTTTTACTCTCATTTTCTTATACATACTTTAGTTCTTCAACTAGTTAGTCGCTAGTGTGATACTGTATGAAATCTCGGAGTATGCATGTACGTGTGTGTTATGTGTGTATCTGTATGTTGGCTGCACGTGTATATGCATTCACGCTCGTCATGCTGTATCCGATTGTTACGTATGCAGGTGCATGTATAATTTCGTCGGCAGGCAGGACACAATACGTGACGATATGCACTATAAAAAAAAGACGTTCTTCTTCAGATAAAAACTAAGAACGCTTTTGAGTAAATGTCATAAAATATATTGCTGCAGAATGTGTGATATCTTAAATAGTATGTCATTATTAATAATTTGATTTATTAAATGGCCGAGTTTCAACAAGTGATACCGATATGAATCGATAATACCGGAACACGAAGTTTGTGTTGTCAGAATTTGAATCTTATATTTGAGTATTGTTTGAGAAATCCTTTTAATCGATTGGCATCGTATTGGCTTAGTATTTGCTTAATCCCACATGCCTGAGAAATTTGTCTAATTACAATCGCGAATATTGACGACGGAACTAATTGAGAAATACTACATATTGCGCGTATATTTACATATGATTGTAATGCTGAAAGGTAAAAATATTATGTACGCACGATTTGAACAGATTATTTCGACCTAATCAGTTGGAGATTGCGAGAAATAGTTTTGTATTATAATTGAAACGACTAATAACCGTGCGTAATCCATTTCCATGTCTTTTCAAAATCGCGATTAAGCTATAAAGAAAAGATTCGCGAGTAAAATCAATTAGATTTC